CAAATTATCTCGGCCAAATGAAACCGGAGGTGGATTGTAAAGGTACCTCGGTAAAGTTCGAACTCTGCCCTTTCGTGCGATACCACTCATGCGGTCGGTCAAAATATCAAACAGCTTCAAAAAATGCGGAAAAGACATGCGTGTGCTCGACCGGCTGGCGCGCGGCCGGGGACGCGCATGGTGTGCGGCCTGAGCGCTCCGTTTCTACCCCCTGGCTGCGCGCGGGCCTGCCGCGCGCGCCTCGGCACGTCCCGCGAGCACCAGCCGCGGCCGTGGGGCGCTGTGCGTGGCGCTGCGGGAGCAGGTTGGGGCGCGCGGACTGTACCCGCCGCCAGCAGCGCGCTCTGGGCGCCCCGGACGAACAAGGAAAACCAACAGCCTGCGCTGGCTGCGGCGCTGCGCGCTGCGCTGCGCCCGCCCGGCCCGCAGTTTCAGCTCAGACGCAGGTAAAGCAAGAGCTTCCAGGTGAGGATTTCTTTTGGGTCGAGCCCGGGGCGGACGGGTTCTTGTGCGCGATGGCAGGTCGAGTGCGCGTGTGAGTGTTCCAACACAGTCGCCGTTCTTGCGGGAGAGAATAAATAGTGCGTCGCCGAGTGTGTTGCCGACCGTGTGTGTGTGAGAGAGTGTGTGCAGCTGCAAGCTGGGCGCCGTGCGCTCTCAGCAGCCTGTGCGACTCGTGTAAATGATTGGATACCCGCACCGCAGCCGCACAACCTTCTGAACGCCCAGGATAGACGAGCAAACCCATCGCGGGTTGCATCACGCATCGCATTCGCTTAAGAGGTGAGTGGAGCCGCGCCTGCGTTAAGCAGCGCTACCTGACGTGTGCTTAAGCTTAAGTCTCTCTGCCCACCTACGCCTACTTTCGATATGACAACACACATCTGTGGGTTTCATTGGGCCTCTCATTTCGTTTTTGTTCGTTACTTGCCCGCTGCCAGCTTAATGCTTAATATTTGAGTGTGGTTCTGCCTCAGAGGGCCTTAAGCAGAAACATGTTTCCTTTGTTATGATTTTACCTGGCATCACTTGTTGCATATTCTCATTTCCAAGTGGACTTAACCTTACTTTTTACTAAATTGATGTTGTTTGTTTTGATGCTTGTAATTTCTTGCATAGGTACCGCTTAAGCTTGTAGATTCTTATAAGCACCCACTGTACGATATGTTCTTAATGTGAGATGTTTTTATATATATGGGTCATGTTTAAAATTAGACCGTCAGTACATATTACACTAATTCATTTTCTCCTTGACCGTAATTTCTTTATGTTATCGCACTTTACTTGTATT